CAATCATATATGTAAATATAGTGACCAAAATCAAGTTATTAATAGATAATAATATATAGTATAAAAGTGTAAATCTATATACTACGTATTCATAGTCCTCAAAAAATTTTAAATAATATTTTTTAAAATACAAACAATTCTTATTAACGAGGAAACATTATTGAATACATGAACACATAAATGTATACATGCATCCATTCGTATTTACAACATCACAAGCTCGTTGTCGATCCTTACTACCCCCATAATTATAAACATAGTATATGATCATCGTATGTGGAAAAGACAATCACAATAATGTAAGGGCAAGTAATTGATATTGAATCATAATACATATAATTTTTTTATCATCAACTTAATTTAAACAATTTGTATCATATCATTTGTCATAATACTATTTTGTACATATCACAGAGACTAGGAACCTCCTTCGAATCTCATTGTCTAAACCTCATTCTTTATACGAGTATAAGAATTTAGTAAAGTCACAATGACTTCATGCTGGAACACCTTATATTAATGTATACACTACACTTTATAATATGGTCATTAGAATAGTTTCAGATATTTCTCAATCACACAACACACTTCAATTTCAAAGCAGTTACCCCTTTTACCTAACAGATTTACGACTTATAAACTATGTTATTCTGATTCTTAAAACTAAAACTAAAATTTCTCTTTTCGAGTTAAAATTTTACTATCATCATAAACCTAGTATGAGGACTTGTTGCGTCTTATCCCTATGAAGGGCGACTACAAGAAATAGACTTAAAAGTCTTGCATCAATGTCGAAGGTTCCCTACTTTTTCAGTCAATATGTTGGTTCTCCTATTAATTCATTTTATGGATAAACAAAATTCATTTTGTGTTCAAGTACTTCACATGTAAAAGTGAGATTGAATGATATTATTAACACTACAAAAATATAACAGCATAGTAGCGGTTCGTTTCCCGAGGTTTTAAAAACCTCTCTTAATTATCCGTGGTTGCACTACAAAAATGCAGTTAAATTTAATTTATTTTTTTTAAATATAATTATAAAGGTTTCTTTGTGAAATTTTTGAAATGTCGCGCCTCTGCACCACCAGTGCTTTGTTTTTCACTTCATCAGAGTTTCGAGTATTATTGACTTTCTTCACTGCTCCGTTTCCATCTTCACCTTCGCCTCTCGACTTCTTCATCTTCAGCCGTTGCGTCTCAATTTCTCCATCTTCGTAACCCTTTGTCACTTCGCAGTCATGATTTCCTTGCCTTCTCCTCCTCCAAATCCTTAATTTCAAAAACCTGAAGCTCACCGACCTTGTGATTGACTTTTTGAGGAGCTCTCCGATGGCGTTTTTAAGGAGCTTGTGATTCGCACAGCCTTCGTGTCTTGCCATTTCCATCTCCCAACCTTCGTGTCTCACCGTTTCCATTTTCACCTCCTTCGCGTATCGACTTCTCCATTCTCACAGTCCTTCTTCACTTTGCAATTCTTATTTCCCTTGTCTTTCCCTACTTCAAATCCCTAATTCCGAAAACCCAAGCATCATTAAGAGCTCGTCGATGTTGCAATTGATGTTTTTTAGGAGCTTGCGAGTTGCACAAGGTGGAATCAGACGTTGACCGGAGCCACCTCCTTCTTCACGACGTCCTGGACGGTGTTAACAACTTCTTCAGAGGGGAGATTCCTCAATCTCAGGGACACCTGAGAAGCCTCCAATACTTGTAAGCATACATGAGCTTGGGTTTGATATCTTGAGATGAATCCATTTTTAGTATCAATCTCTACTGTTTAATGCTAAAATTTTCCCAAAATTGTTTCAGGAGGCTCAATAATAACACTCTTGTTGGTGAATGCCAAAGTCTCTGGCTAACATGACCCAACACAATCTTCTGTAATACACATATGAACTCTTCTGTTTGATACTTGTATCTCATGCATAATTTCAGTTTATATTTCTAGTTTTGAGGTGTTATTTGGTGGAGACACAAGCACAATCAACAAGCATTCTTGGATATTAAAGGTACTTGCCATTTGCACACCTTGAATGAAATCAAAGTAAAATATACATCGTTATATAAGAATGTTCTAGTGCATCAAAAGTTAATTCAAGTATGGTATTGTTCTGAAATTTATGACCTTTTTGTTAACTGTTTCAAAAAGGATCATGAAGAAGTCTACCTTGGAAACTTGAAGAGGTTTCAATTTAGAGAACTCCAGATTTCTACTCACAACTTCAGCAGCAAAAACATATTAGGAAAATGTGGTTTTGGAAATGTCTACAATCTCCCTGATGGGGTACTCTTGTAGCTGTCAAGAGGCTTAAAGATGGAAATGCAATTGGAGGAGAGATTCAATTTCAGACCGAAGTTGAAATGATCAGCTTGGCAATTCTTTTATTTCTGAAGAGGCAGAGCCAAGTCCCTTTGTTGGTCAGTGGCAAGGTAAACCTGTTTCTTTCATGCGATCCAACGAGCATGGAAACCATGAAACACAGAGGAAATGGGACACTTAAGGTCTTCATGGCTTGCCTCTCAAATTTGTTCAAGTTGACCAAAACGCCAGGAATTGGTGGAGAAAGGTACTTCAGTTCATAATACTCCCTTCCCTCAGTGCCTTCTTTAGAAACCAGTAACTTTACTTCTTAATTAGCATATTAACTTTATCCATAATTTTCACTTTGAAGCTTGGTAACGTGGTATTATAGCTGAAGGTTTGCAAGGGGAAGATCGGTTGGAGGCTCTCTTGTACTCAGCTATCTATCTCAAGGTCTTGTTCTTTCTTTTCCATTCAATCATCCATGCTCTTATTTTACCATCTTCTGAACCCTTCTTACATTATCTGTGCAGTGGATAAACACAGGGCAAATATCTTGTTTTGAAGATGGAGGTCACCACCGCCCCAATAGGGATGCTAAGATTTCAAGGCTTATATTTCGTGAACTAGAGCGACACACTACTCGGAAGGATATATCTCCATAGGTGATCTATTATTAGTTTTGACAGTGGATTATGTGGTCCTGATTGCATTATAGATGTTGTTGATGTTTAACAAAAGTTATATGAGGGTGGGTGTTTATGTTATAGGTTCTACATTGCAGTATATTTTAGATGTGTAGGTGTGTCTTGGCCTTAAGGCTTGTTTAGATTCTTTATGAGTCATATTTTTGGTATTGAACATTTGTATTGAATATATGTATTGAACATCTATATAGAACATATGTAATGAATATCTTTCTTTTTAATTTTTATGTATGAACAATTAGTTGTATGAATGATGTTAATTTTATACAATATTATTCAATTTTAGTTCATATTAATTTATTGTTTGTTTTCTCAATAAAACCATTTTTATTATAATCCAATTTTATTACAATAAAAAAACAAAAAAAAATTAACTGGATACATTTCCGGCGGTTTTAAAACTCCGGTTAACTAAACCATGCAAATTAGGGGCGATTTTTGGAGAACCCCAGCTAGTTCCGGCGGTTTTTCAGTAACCCCGCTAATACCGGCGGTTCTCACAAAACTCCGTTAATACCGGCGGTTTTCTCAAAACTTCCGCTAATACCGGCGGTTTTCACAAAAAACCCCTGGTAATTCCGGCAGTTTTTGAAAACCCTCGTTATTTCCGCCGGTTCTGCAAAAAACCGCCGGTAATTACTTAGCGACGCAGGTTTTTCCAACGGTTTTTCTAACCGCGGGTAACATATTTTTTGGAGGTTAAAACCGCCAGAAACGCAAAAAATAACCTCCAGTAAAAATATAATTTTTTATAGTGTAACATGACACAGAATAAAATCAATTTCAATAGAGATAAATAAATAAAAATGAGATTAAGAACACTTCACTTAAATAAATAAATAAAAATATAAATAAACAAAAATGAGATTACGAAGACCTCGCTAGATTAATAAAAATAATAAAAATGAATAAATAAAAAAAAGTTATAAACACCTCATTAATAAAATAATAAAATTAACAAAAATAAGGTTATACGCACCTAACTTAATAAAATGATAATAATAAATAAATGAAACTGAGGTTTAAACCTCACTTAATAAAAACAAAAATAAAGATAATAAATAAATAAAAATAAGATTATAAATATATCACTAATAAAATAATAATAATAATAAATAAATAAATAAAATTGAAGTTATAAATATTTTACTATTAAAATAAAAATAATAACCATAGAGAAACAAATAAAAATAAAAATAAAGACACCAAAATAAAATAAATATATATATATATATATATATAATGATAGATGTTTTGTTTCCTTATCTCAAAATAACTTGTTTCAAGTCAAACTCTATTCGGAAGAGATTGAATAATTTTTCCAACCTACTTTAAAATCTTAATCGATAGAGAAAGAAGATGAAAATTAAGAAGAATGAGAAAGAAAGATTGATGGATGCAACTATCAAAACTCTCTTGTTTCACTTCTGTTCTTAGCATTATATAAAATATTTAAATATTTTTTTTCTCCCATACATTCATAGTCATGTAATAGTAAATCCATAATTTATTATTTAAATATTATAATACTATTTCACATTTGACAACTTATGATAGTTGAGAGAAGACTTGTTGACTTTTGTAGAAAATTTGTTTCTTTTATCACAAATATGAAATTGATTATTCAATTACAAGCCTCAAATATAAATCTAACGGTCAAAGTGAATAATATTATCTTAAGAACATGTTGTAAAATTTTGAGTTTGATCCAATAGTTAACGAAACAAAAATTGAATTGTTATTAAAGTAAATCGAAATAGGAAATAAGTGACACTAGTTCAAACTACAATTTTTTTTTCTAACCATAGACCTTTAAATGGAAATTCGGAATTCATGATAAAAATCTTATCTCAATCTAAGAGACGAAGCAAATACAATTTTTACTAAGGTAAGTCAAAATTAGACATTGTGTAAAGACTTAACTTTTACACTAAAATACAAAAATTATTTCTCTTATTGTAAATCTTAGTTACATTATAGAAACTATATGTTAACATACTTTGTGATGAAAATTGCAACCTAATCCAATAATATATGGAATTACAATAACAACTTTATCCATATAACTTAAAACTGAAACACAAGTAATATTTCAAAAATTATTCTTTTAATTCTTTTACAAAACACCTTCTTCTTAATTCCAAATTTCTCAATTTATTTTATTAAAAACATAAAAAAAAAACTTAAATATAGTTAATATATAAAGAATAAAGGATATTACACTTATACATAAAATTATTTTATTTATATTGTAAATATCTAGATGTTACATTATTAAATCATTTTTCTTTTTCTTATAAAATATCAATTATTTATATAATATAAGATCATTAATTAAAAAATATATAATTTTATTCTTTTCAAAAGTAAATTAATTTTATATTAAATATTTAATTATGAAATTAAATATTGATTATAACGAATATAAAAATACAAACAGTAATTAAATTATATTATATTTTTTTATATTTTAGATTAATTTAAACAAACTAATTTTAACGTCGACTTATTTAAAGTTTTAAATTAATCGATATAAATGTTATATTAGTTTTTAATTATATTGATATTAAAAATTATAATTTGTAATAAAACTAGCCAAAATTTTAAGTCATTAACTCAATCTAAATCCAAAAAACAGCAAAAATAATCGGATAAATTAAAATTAATATAAAAATTCAGAAACATAAGTCAATCCAACCTAATATAATGTTAAATAATTTAGATTCTACTAAACCCAGACTAGGAATAGGATTAAAATTTATTGATGCGTAACTATATTGATACTATGATAGAGCCAATAAAAGGAGAATTTTGAAAGGTAAAACCAAACCTAAAAGTTTAATTAACAACGAAATTAGCGCGCAGTTTAACATTTTATAATTTTCAGCAAACATTGCTCAGGTTATATTTGAATTATCAAATGAAACATTACTTTCATTTCTATAAATTCTCATATTTTTTTGGTAAATTTTTAATAGCATACTGTCAAATAATAATTTATTGTTTAATGACTTTTATAAATTTTTTCTACAAAAATTTATTAAAGTATTTATAAAAAACAAATAGTTGTTCATTAATTTACTATAATTATTTATATAATGATTGATTAATTTGGTTATGAGTTGTTATAATTGATTTATATGTAATGGAGTGAAATTTATTACAAATTATTTCGTTATTATGATTAGTTATTGTATAATTATTTTATAAATAGATTTTTTTCTTTAAAAGATAACATAGAAAATGAGTCTTCATGATTTTTTTTTCATTTCTTCTTCGTTAGATAAACTGAATCAACTAAATAGTGGAAACATTTTCATCTAAAAAAAAAAAATTATATGTAGATCATTAAGAAATTCTTTCTAATTTTTTTCTTATTTATAATTTTAATTTTGTGATATTTTATTTTATATTATCCCTTTTATGAAATTATTTATTTCTTCTTATTCCCGTATAAACTTATAAAGAGAAAAAAACATTATGTGACTATTATTTACAGCCCAAACATGAGCTGTCGCCTACACTTGCAACTTTAACGAACAACGTCGTGACTGATGTTCTTAATTATATATTCAATAACTATCGGAATTTTAAATATTTGTTATTAATATCATCTGATAATAAACAAAAGGATGAAATCGCTTTTTAATTGTATCTGTACACTATTCAAAAATGGTTAATTTCTTACCACGATATTTATTATGATCAAAAACTGAAAAATGGTGAACTAAAAAATTATAAATACTTTATTAACGTCAAGAAAAAAAGTATTTTTCATTTTTTTAAAGAAATTTTTAATACAAAAAAAAAAAGGATCGGGAGGGTGGAAATTAATTAAAGGAATTAAATATCATGATTTTTGGATATTCCAACATCATGCTTAATGTCAATAAATGATTTACACAAGGTTTTGAATGTGTGTGAAATAAGAAGATTAAGAAAGTAAATTCATTGATTCCTTCTATCAGCCCAATTATCATTTGTGCACAGGCCCATCTCACTTATAAGCCCTCTATAAGCTCAATTTCAATTTCAGTCTATTAATTGTATATAAAAAATTGATAAAAATATAGTTTTTCCCTGGAGATATGATTATTATATGGTTCTTGCTTTTTGTCAAAATATATAATTGATTTTACTTAATTTACCCTAACGAGATATAAATATTATATTGTTTGTTTTCTTTTGTTGAAATATTGAAGAAGAATGCTTTTTAATTGAAATTTATGCTAAATATTTTAGTTTACCAAAACAAAATTTTAACTGACCCTATGCTCTAGGAATCATGTATTATTTATGCATCAACGCTTTACGACAGAAATTTATTGAGAATAATGTTTAATGAAATTTGTTAAGTATTTAAGAGTCCAAAAATGGTTCTGAATAGTCAGAAAACTTGTTATGATTAAAAAGCATATCAAATAGTCAAGGTAATTTAGCAAGATATATTTTTAAAATAAATGCATATGCATATTAAGAGATGGTTTTCTAGTAAAACAAACTTAACCTTTCTATATATATATATATGGTATTAGCTTTCAAAATAAAAATGTCTGCATAATAGAATATTATTAAAGTTCGTTAAGCTGATTTTAAAGTAATAAATAATGTTGAATAGTTTATTTTCGAGTTAATTAAAAGGATCAATAAGAAAATATACCCGTGATAAATAATTGATAAAATATTAATTAGATTAATAAGGAGCAAAGTTTTCATGATGACTACCAACTAATTAGTTAAATAATATTATTTACACATATCTCCTTGTTATTAAGTATTAAGTATGCATTTTTATTTTAAATTAATTTATAAGAGAAATAGTGTAATTGTGAGTTAAAGAAAGCAAAATATTAAATCGTTATTAATCTAATTAGATCGTAAGAGTATTGAAGAATCATATGTCATAGAGATAAAGGGTCAACGTCATACATTTTATTGAATCTTTAGAACATT